TATATATATATATATTTAACTCTCGGATGCTGACATCAAAGTCTGTAATACAGTTACTGATTTAATGGATCTGTGAGCTTATATTGACTAAAAGGCGCTTAATTAATTTTAAAGGACCAATGTGCTATAACTTGTGTAAAAAAAATAGTTGAATACCAAGTTTATTTTAATAACAATAATTCAAATTTGCAAATGCAATATAATTGAGTGAGTCTAAAGCCCCAGCTACATCTATCGTAATGTTTATCGTAAGCTCCTTACGATTCTTACGATAGTCAATTAGAAATATCAATGTGTATTGTAACGCTTTTGATTGGCTATCGCAAGGATCGTAAGAAGCTTACGATAAACATTACGATAGATGTAGCTGGGCCTTAATAGACTATCAGCTCCTACTATCAGCTCCAGAGGATTAGACTAGAAGTGAACACGAAAATTTTTTTTCTTTATATCTAGATAAAGTTGTGGCATATACCTGATGGCGGATTGTCAAGGAATTTGACCGAATGGCTGGTGGAGTTGCAAGGACACAAACGACGTGTTGCTTATATCGAGTGGCACCCGGTAGCTGAGAATGTGCTTTTTAGCGCCGGTTTTGATCATCTTGTTATCGTGTGGGATGTGAACAAATGCGAGGCAGTTAGCGTCATTGATAGACATCCTGATGTGATTTACAGCATGTCTCTAAATCGTGACGGCAGCTTATTCGCGACCACTTGCAAGGACAAGAAATTACGCGTTTTTGAACCAAGGTCCGGTATCGTAGTTTCGGTAAGAAAGGACAAAATTTACGATCGTAAACATATGTATTAAAACTGTATAAGCTCATCTTTAACACTCTAGATAATAATCACAAATATAAAATAATATACAATATTTATCTCTGCTAAAAATTATGGTCTGTATACACACTTTACTTGTATGAATAAAGGTGCACATTCAGCATACAGTTACGTCACATGTTCTATAGATAATAATAAGACTAAATTTTTTAGAACATTTGAATTAATTATATAATTTATAATTTTCTATCTTTTATATGTAAATTTTCACAATACATAATTTTAATTGCGCACCAACATCAATGCGTTGATTCTTACTTGCCTTTAGTATCTTTAATTATTAATATTCTATAGAATTTCAAAAATAAATTTATGTATTTGTCGATAAAGGTGAGGGACAAAATACTCCATCTTAACTCTTTCTATTAAATTTTAATAAATCTACTTTTAATTTTAATAGGAAGGGGTATGTCACGCTGGCACGAAAGCTAGCAAGGTAGTATTTCTTGGCAGTTCCGGACGTCTTTTGACTACTGGATTTAGCAGACATTCGGATCGACAATATGCGATATGGAGTCAACATGACCTAACTGTCCCACTGACGTGTGAGACGATAGATTCATCGAGTGGAGTGGTTTTTCCATTTTACGATAATGATACCAACATGGTGTTTTTGGCTGGAAAGGTAAAAACGTATGACATGTGTAATTCGGACTATTGTAAAACTCACTGCGTTGTATCATTTTCTCCAGGGTGATGGTAACATTCGATATTATGAAGTGGTTAATGAAGCACCCTGGGTGCATTATCTCAGTCAATTTATATCGGGAAATCCTCAGAGAGGATTGGGGATAATGCCGAAAAGAGGCATTAATACCTTTTTATGCGAAGTATTTAGATTTTATAAGTTACACGCGACTCGTGGAATGTGTGAGCCGATCTCGATGATAGTACCACGGAAGGCAAGTTTACTTGCATGATTAATACTTTATATTCTTTTCACTTTTTTTTAAAAGATGCATATTGAAGAAAACTATGTTATATGTTGTAGAGTGATCAATTTCAAGAAGATCTATATCCTGATACAATTGGAACGTGTCCCGCATTATCAGCTAGAGACTGGACCAGCGGCATGAACAGCCCACCAGTCTTAATCTCTCTTAAAACAGGTCCTATTTTTAAACTATATATAAGTAGTTCAAATTTAAAACAAAATAAGATAAATAAAAGGCATAAAACTACGAACGCAAGATGTAAGCAGCGAATAATTATATATTTAAAAAGTTAAAATACATATAATAGACGTTTCGGTCTTAAATTAGACCATCTTCAGTAATAAAACGAGATGAGAGTTATAAATTAATATTCACTTTCGCATACATTAAGTCGATAAGAAATGAACGATAGTCAACGCAAAATACAATTTTCTTGATGTGAAGAATTCTTAAAAAACATCTCCAAGGTTTGAAAGCGCAGATTCGCAGCGAGTCAAAAAGTAGTTAGTTAAGTGGATAGTGCATCAAAACGTCTAATTGAGTGAGTATCCGCGATGTAAATTATTGCGCACAAAATTTCCTGATTCTAATGTAAGTATAAATCAGAAATCAAAAAAACAAAAGAAAATATAAAAAAATTACGCTGTAAATTGTAAAATAAATTAAAATACCTGTGTTAACAATAGTTTGCGGAGCAGATACAGGAATTGGAAAAATTGAAGAGTATAAAATAAAAGTCAAGAACAGAATGATCGAGTCAGACCATGGCAGACCGAATTTATACCGAATTCAGTGTCGCTAGTGGAACATTCTAGATCAAGATTTAACCGATGTGTTTAATAACGGTAAATAAATTTCTGGAAACTTCTCTGTATCGTTCTGTTTATTGATACCGTTAATTTGTTTTTTAATATATATCATTTCAGAAGTCAGTCTTTTGTGGAAAAATGGCTCAATGTCAAGAACTTTAATATTATCCCAGTCAAATTTATGGTCAAGCTGAACCTGGTGTTCTGCAACTACATTATGTAGATTACTAGATTTCCGAGCACAAGATTTATGCTCGGAAATTCTAGTCGCAACTTTTCTTTTCGTTTGACCAACGTAAGAAGCGTCACAATCAAGACAGTCTATTCTGTATACAGCATTACTATGTTCAATGGTTTTTAATCTATCTTTACCTGTTTTTATGATAGTATTCAGTTTATTCATAGGTTTAAAGGCAACTTTAAGGTTATTCTTCTTGGCAACAGGTTTAAATTTTTCCGATACATCTTTAATGTAAGGAACAATAAAAAAATTATCAAAATTGACAGAATTAGAATTCTGATAAGAACAAGCATTGCTATAAACATTTTTACGACTAGACAAAGTATCGATTCTTTTATTAATCGTAGAAAAGAGAAAGTCCAAAGGATAGCCATTGTTTAAAAAATTGTTAATCATCATTTCAATGTTTCTAGTGTGAAATTTAGGATGTGATAGAAATATTATTCTATCCAATTGGCCAATAATCACACCTCTTTTATGATCTAAAGGATGATTAGAATTGAAATTCAAGTATCGTCCAGAAGAGCATGGAAGAGCATGAAATACCTAGATCAATACGTATATAAAAAACTCAATGTTACTGATGGAGATTTGCCGAGGATCTATGGGTTGCCTAAGATACATAAACATGGTCATCCTTTGAGAATTATTGTAAGCTGCATTAATAGCCCATTATATCCACTAGCAGTATTTCTCAAAGATATTATTGACAAGAGTTTAAAAAAGGAATATGGATACATTAAAAATAGTTTCGATCTTACGAATAAACTTAATGGTTTAGCCTTGAAGGATGACTACAAAATAGTATCCTTTGATGTAGTATCTATGTACACTAATATTCCTGAGGAATTGGTTGTCAAAAGCATAGAATTGAGATGGAATGCCATCGCAAGTAATACCAATATTCCGAAAAAAGAATTTTTAAATGCCATCTCTTTAATTTTTAATTCTACGTTTTTTAAATTTGACGAACTTTTCTTCAAACAAATTTTTGGCATGCCCATGGGCTCTCCTTTATCTCCTATCTTAGCAGACATTGTAATACAGGACCTGGAAAGAGAATTATTATCAAAATTGAATTTTAACATACCAATTTTTTACAGATACGTTGACGACATTATTTTATCTGTTCCTATTAATTATATTAATGACATTTTACAGGTTTTTAACTCATACCATGACAGATTGAAATTTACCTGTGAACAAAATGACGATGGATCTATTAATTTTCTAGATGTCAGTTTGAAAGTGGAAAATGGACACATTATTTTTGACAATTTTAAAAAACCGACTAATTCTGGACGATACTTGAATTTCAATTCTAATCATCCTTTAGATCATAAAAGAGGTGTGATTATTGGCCAATTGGATAGAATAATATTTCTATCACATCCTAAATTTCACACTAGAAACATTGAAATGATGATTAACAATTTTTTAAACAATGGCTATCCTTTGGACTTTCTCTTTTCTACGATTAATAAAAGAATCGATACTTTGTCTAGTCGTAAAAATGTTTATAGCAATGCTTGTTCTTATCAGAATTCTAATTCTGTCAATTTTGATAATTTTTTTATTGTTCCTTACATTAAAGATGTATCGGAAAAATTTAAACCTGTTGCCAAGAAGAATAACCTTAAAGTTGCCTTTAAACCTATGAATAAACTGAATACTATCATAAAAACAGGTAAAGATAGATTAAAAACCATTGAACATAGTAATGCTGTATACAGAATAGACTGTCTTGATTGTGACGCTTCTTACGTTGGTCAAACGAAAAGAAAAGTTGCGACTAGAATTTCCGAGCATAAATCTTGTGCTCGGAAATCTAGTAATCTACATAATGTAGTTGCAGAACACCAGGTTCAGCTTGACCATAAATTTGACTGGGATAATATTAAAGTTCTTGACATTGAGCCATTTTTCCACAAAAGACTGACTTCTGAAATGATATATATTAAAAAACAAATTAACGGTATCAATAAACAGAACGATACAGAGAAGTTTCCAGAAATTTATTTACCGTTATTAAACACATCGGTTAAATCTTGATCTAGAATGTTCCACTAGCGACACTGAATTCGGTATAAATTCGGTCTGCCATGGTCTGACTCGATCATTCTGTTCTTGACTTTTATTTTATACTCTTCAATTTTTCCAATTCCTGTATCTGCTCCGCAAACTATTGTTAACACAGGTATTTTAATTTATTTTACAATTTACAGCGTAATTTTTTTATATTTTCTTTTGTTTTTTTGATTTCTGATTTATACTTACATTAGAATCAGGAAATTTTGTGCGCAATAATTTACATCGCGGATACTCACTCAATTAGACGTTTTGATGCACTATCCACTTAACTAACTACTTTTTGACTCGCTGCGAATCTGCGCTTTCAAACCTTGGAGATGTTTTTTAAGAATTCTTCACATCAAGAAAATTGTATTTTGCGTTGACTATCGTTCATTTCTTATCGACTTAATGTATGCGAAAGTGAATATTAATTTATAACTCTCATCTCGTTTTATTACTGAAGATGGTCTAATTTAAGACCGAAACGTCTATTATATGTATTTTAACTTTTTAAATATATAATTATTCGCTGCTTACATCTTGCGTTCGTAGTTTTATGCCTTTTATTTATCTTATTTTATATATAAGTATACATTGCGAGTGTCGTGCGATCCAAATATTGTTTAGATTTTCTCCAAGCTAGAGCTATTTAGTTTACTTGTTTTTATATATTTTCCATTAATACGGTATACAGTAATAAAATTTTATCGAGCAGTCACATTAATGGATATCATGCTACTCTTAGGCGGGAGTATCTCTACACATAAGCCACGAGTATATAAACCACCGCAATTGCCTGCGACCACTGATCTGAATAATAAAAAGAAATTTGCGTTTCTGTCTACGGAAACGATACCGGATTACAGACCGGTGGAATTACACGATATGTCGGAAAAGAGCCAAAAAACATCCAGCAATCAAAGCACAAAGTTTCAGCAACTTCAGCAGAAGTTTGGAAATGTCACTATACAGGTACGAGCGTAATACATGTATATATACATTGCATTTTTTACATAACTTTTGTATATATTTTATATTCGTAAATATTTTTCCTATCAGAAGAATATTATATCGTCTTCGATTAATGACAATAAAGTTATGGAGACTGTGGATGTTCCAAATAATGAAGCAGAACTTCGTTTGGCACTGGCTCGTCAAACTGACGAATTGAGACTGGTACGACGGCAGCTCGCTAATAGTCAACTGCGTGTTAAGGAATTAGAGGACCAAATACGAAAATTGCAGCGTCAATAATAAAGTTTATAAACTCGCTTCGACATCTGCTTTGAATAAGACTCTTACAGCTTTACTATTACACGTGATTATCAATGTCTCGCGCCATGTTTAGCGCCGAGACACTATCGTGTTCTCCAGATCAATACTTAAAGTTTTTAGAGTATTAAGGGGATGCTGGAGTGACGGTCGAACTTAATCAAGGTCGATAATACAGACTTTTTAAAGTTCCAAATTCGATAATAGTGACATCTTTCATTCATTTCTTATACTTATATCGTTGTCTCGCTCAAATGCATTCATCTGTCCTTATCTAACATATTGCAACGCCATCTCTTAGAAAGAGATCAACTAAAATACTGCTCGGTTTCATGGCTTCACTCTTTTCGAGGCTTACTGCTCGGTTTCACTCATAATATACAAACGAAATTTTCGGCGACTCTTTTCTCTTATACTAAAGCCCCTACCTCGTTTCTAAAAGCATAGGATTGTTCTTCGTAGTTTTTTGTAGGCTGCTGGCTACTTATTTTAAACAGGTAAAATCTGAAACTCTTATATGCAGCACATATTGTGACGAGTTGACTGCAGAAGCCGGTGACAAAACCACAATTTTTAATTTTCTTTTATTTTTCGTATTAAATTGTAGTTGGCAGCCTGTGTTGTTGTCGATACTTTAAATGTGGAAAAGGACTTTTCAATCCATAAACACAATTAAGAGAAGAGTCTTTAAAAATTAATGGTAAAACAGAACACTCTAGCATCCCCTTAAGCACTGCTATAATGATAAAGAGCCTAAGCTTATGAGAAATTTGTACTAACATGCTTAGGACACTTTAGCTTTGTCATATTTATACACAAAGAAATATTCGCACAGAATAATTTTGACTAACTTTTCTTAGAATATCTATAATTTTTATGTAGAATAAAATTGTCACGTTAATCACAAGGGAACAGAAATAGTAAGCTGCATTTGTTACATAAAAATTGTACCTGTTTACGCACATACTTAGATGCGTAAGTCGGATATTAAGAAGTTAAGAGAAACATAATACCTTTAGACAAAATGGCAGCGTAAAGGTAATTCATGGTGTTGTCAATTAAATGACATATACTTTACTTTTTTTGAAAACGATATTATACTACTAGTTTGTTAATCAATTGTTTATTTTTTCTATTACTGTTTTAGTATGTTTATTAGTTACTTAATTGACGTATTATTTAATATATTGCTTTATCATTAGAGATATTTCGAAAGACAGTATTTCTTTGCGTATTATTACGATTATTATTGCTTCTATTTGCATTGTAAATTTATCCTTGCAACGCTTAAAATGATTTTTATTGCTGATCTATTATACACTCTACAAAGCTGCTATCTATATCTATTAGTAGTATGGACTAGTGTGTTAATGTATTAAGCGTGTTAATGCATTTTGCTATCGCGTATGTTTTTCATCACTGCCATCTCTACTACCGTGATGTCGATGGCAATAAGATCTATGAATGCAGTGATATCTAATGTCACGATTAACTAAAAAAACAAAAGCTTAAAATTCCCTTTTATACAATAAATACGTAATGTAACGTTCGTACAATTAGCAAAATTATTAAACAATGTACCTATAATCGATGATATAGTGAAAACAATATACAGGGTGTTACAGATACATACTAGGCAGTATGATGGGTTGCGCGGCAAACTTTGCATGGCCAAGCGTGGTTTAATAGACAATGACAGTGACTTTATACATTATAAAGTTTATTTTATACTACAAAATTTTATTATTTATATTATAAAGTTTATGTTATAAAGTCACTGTCATTGTCTATTAAACCACACTTGGCCATCCAAAGTTTGCCGCGCAACCCGTCGTACTGCCTAGTATGTATCTGTAACACCCTGTACATATATATTTTTAAAGAAACTCGACGTTTAACACGACTCAATGTTGATGTAATTCACCTGAGCTAACTTAAGGATGTATTACACACATTTTAAAATAATGAAAACATAAAAAAATTACAAATTATTTTAGCATTTAATAAAAGTTTGGCGGCAGTTTAGGATCTGGATCAAAAATGATTTCAAAAGTAGTATTTTTTTATCTTTGATAATGAAAATGTATGGAAATTGTTCTGCAAAATAAACAAAATTTGTTTATTTGCAAAACAAATAATCTCTGCATCGCAATGAAACTACATAAATAATTTTGAATGTTTAAAATATTTATGCAAAAAATTTAGATTTTTGTCATTATTTTTTAAACTTTAGTATTATAATAAAAACTAAAAAAACTGAAAAATATCGTTCAACAAAAATCAAATGTTACAAACATAACTTTTACATGTATATCGTTAATTCAAAATATAAGTTAATGCAATTGTAAAAGTGAGTAATACATCCTTAAAGGGGATACGATAGCAAATGTGTTAGAACATTTACTTTTAGCATTAGTTTTGTAGTTTTGAGAATCATACAGAATTATATTTCCGCTTAATAATAATAATCAAGTCGTGTAATCATTTATACATATACGTTTATATACGTATTTTTCATACAATTGTGCAATTGAACTGGATAAATGTAATACCTGGATGCTATATTTCACATATCGCTTGCAAGCATAAAATTTTATTATCCGTAAAGTAAGAATAACCTGAAACACTGATGATATACCAACATGTGACGTAGCATTCCCTAGTCTTTCTTTACTAGTTGTTTATTTTATCATCATCAGTAGCTTTAATTACCTATAAATAAGATTTTATTGAAACTTTCTTTTAGATATACAACTTTTTCAAGAGCATGAAGTGTGTTGCATTAAAGTGCGTTTTCTAAACGGTAAAGTATATATTGCGAGGTAGTTTGTAGCTATATTTTCGATATTTATATTGCAAGTAATTTCTATGATATTTGTAAGGAGATCATTCATTTTCGTGACAGACGTATTGTAATGAATTTACAAATTTGATTACAAATTATAAATTTACTTCTAATGTAGTATCGTGACGCAATACGCCTGTATCGTGATTTATATATATTTATACATGTCAATTAAATATATTATATCGAGATCTCTAACCACATAATACCGTATATTAAACAGAAAAGTACCAAAGAGCGTCATTATCTCGTAGATTATAGCCCAATTTATTATCAGCGTATGCCTGTTTAAGAGATTTATGTACGAGAACAAAGAAGATGTTGATATATGGCAAACAGAGATCTCGTAATAAAAATAAAAGGAAAAACTTATAAAATTGAGTATATGAAACATTATTAATATATAAAATATTTTATTCGTTTTGAAATTTACGAACAGTAATCAATTTAATTCTATGTATTACGTCAGTACATAGCAAAGTAAAAAAGTGCAATACATATATATTTCTCTGATACAAATTATGTGTATATCTCTTATAATTATACAATACTCTTTTAACATTGCTTATCAATTGAATGGACGGACATATTTCGTTTCAGTTCTATTATTTTGTAATGTTAAAAAATAACCTATTATATATATATATATATATAGAAAAAGAGAATTTTTAAATACAGTAATGCTTTTTGAAATTTATTTTCGATCTTTTTTGGCAACTTTATTTTCAATAAATATAATTTACGTACGTATACCATAGAATTTCAATACTGGCAGTGTAAATCCGAACACAGCCTGTGAACGAATTATTGGAATATAATTGGAGTATAAATCCTAGAAGAATATAATTTGAGTTTCAAAAAATATGAATGAATAATCATGGTAAAATAATTCAAATATTTCGATTACAAGTAACAATCATACTACACAGGATTGAAATATAAAGTTGCGAAAAAGATCTTAAAATTAATTATATTTTCTGATACTGGTAAGAAATATCTTGTAAGCATCATACTCCATGATATTTGAGGTGTCATTGGCAGGAGAAATCTAATATCAAGATCAAAATTTAATACTTTACATGAGCATCCAAGTATAAATTGATACTTGCGATTTAAAAAGGCGTTAGAGATTCATCGACATAATGAAATAGATTTGTCAGATTCTTAACTAATCGTCAAGCCTCACAGAAGCTTCTACCTGTGAAATAGCTTTTTCCAGGTTACTATTAAACTTGCTGGCATGATCCATGTATACATTATATCTGGCATGAAGGATATCGCTGAATTGCATCCGTCTTCGGAACATGTGAATACGCAAGTGCGGTAAGTCAGCTTGTCACCCGGTTGTTTCACATAGTCGCAGTAGTTCCCCATGTGCACGGACGAGCAAAATCGCTTTGTACCAATGCCACCTGTTTCCAAAAGTATATAACTTAATTATACAATATATTTATTCTAAGTGAAACTACTACTTATTTAATTAGAAGAAGCTTGAAACGCTTCAGAGAGAACTTGATGTATTTTGAAATATATGTATAATATCAAAGAAAGGAAGTTTGTTCAAACATATATTCTTTTTCGTTAATTTGAATTTAAAAGTTAGTTTTGAGAATGAGTCAAGTGAATAAGCAGACTACATGTGCATATGTATATTTAAATGATGAAAAAAATGTGATGTATATGTCGTGCAGAAAGAAGTATATATATATTCTTCAAGAAGATTCTCCAGCTTAAAAAAGTGAAGGGAAGTCACGCAATTTTTCTTATCTTTCAACACGAGAGCGCAAAGAATGCAAAATACCATTGTCTTCTAAAAAATAAATACTAAATAAAATTTAAGCTGTAAAACTATAATTTGTCACTAAAAAATATCATTAAAAAATATCTTTTTTTATAATAAAAATGAATATATGGAAAATATTAAAGAAAAATTGTTTATAATAATTATTAAAATGTAATTCTTTCATATCTATCTTCAAAATACGCTATTCACAAAAATTAGAGGAACACTTAATTTTTTATAAAAAATAGACAAAATTTAGGCAGCTGTAACTTTGTCAAAAATGATGGAAATTTGAATAAAAAAAAAAGAGTTTTAAAGTTTGAAATCTCTATTTTCGGAAGGTTACTATGTTTTTTTATTTTCTGTGAGTTTAGTAATTTTTACACATAGAAAACTACGAGCTCAACTAAATAAGAAATCTTTAGCTCACTTTGTGGGCTTGTCACGTGCGTACAAAAAATGTGCGAAACTTTTCGATTTTTTCATGTAAAAGCTTGAA